AGTCCAGGACAATGTGCGAGTGTTCTCTTTATTGCAACGCCGTTAACCGGTAACTGGAATTACATGTGCAATATATGGAAGCAAAACTATTAATAGGGATGCCACTAACTGTGAAGCTATATCAAATTACTGCAAACCTCCATTATGTTTAGCACACCATGTGGAAAGATATACACCGCACAAATAATTACCGTATTCAAAGGATTGGGTAGGTACTGAAAAAAACGTCGCGTATAATTATTGAAAGTTTGCTTATTGGTGGTGATCCAAATTTCGACTGGACGGTTGGTCGATAAAGTGAACAGGTGGAATAATAAATATTATTTAATACAAAATTTCGGTCGAAGTGGCAATCAATCTACGATGATACCTATTCACCATTGAATTTCTCGAAAAGGCGTTTTTTGTTGAATTTTATAGTCCAAAACCAGAGTTTCACTGGAGCAAAAAGGGTCGATGGTGGAGAATCCGGCTCGACAATATAAACGAAAAATCTCTATCTGTCCCATACTGTCCTACAAATGATGAAATTTCGTGTAACGGTAGGTAGGTCAGGAATTACCTAGCCGAGAGTAAGGCAATTACAATACGTACTCCCTTCCCATTTAATTTATGACTTCTAAATCTACATCGATACTATCGTACGTATTCTTCGTTATGCACTTCTGAGTTTTGAATATAAATCCAACTCGTTTATTTCCTAAATATTATACCTTTACGTTTACAAATAATGGAACACAAGCTAATGGACGCGTAAGGCGGCGAAGTCGCCTCTGATCAGAATCCCGATGGAGAAAGACGAGAGAATTTTTTCCGCCGTTTTACAACGGTAACGAATCCTCTTTTGCGAGTTTCTGTAACTTGTCTGTCCTTAATTTACGAGAAATGGAAGGATGTTGAGGTGGGTCTCGAGGTGGGCGTATCGGCGCTACTTTGGCTTCGAGAAATGTTAACCATCTGTGTCATGATGCTCTCGATTAGCTTATGGAAGCGATTTGAATGATGTCCGCAGTCTGCGTTAAGTTAATGACGACCGGGGTTGGGGGTGTTCATTCACAAATCCCTGCTCCCAGTTTACTCACCCTTGAACCGATCGGGTTTCTAATCTTCCTCGCTCGTCTGCCAACTTTCGGCTAACGAATCTATGAAATTCCACTCCCTTTTTAAATGAAGTAAAAGTGCGCTTTAATGATGGTGTTTCAAATCGATTGATACGACCTTTTCTCTTGTAGAAAGTTTGTAATTATGGGAATTTTAGTACACTTCGATTGTCTGTAATGTAATAAATTATTGTATTTGTTAATTTATGGGGAGGGAGGAAATTGTTGCGTTAACGTGGTTACAATCAGTACCCCTTACAGTAATTTAAACTCGAATTCTCGCTCGAATTTAAACATGGTGTACGTTTTAGAACAGATAAAAACGGGGATAAAACTGAGTAAATGATCTTGGAATTCAAATGAGTAGAACTCGAGTAGAAGTAAATTGTGTGTAACTATAACGAGGCATAAAAAAGGATGCATACTGTGTCGTTTTGTAAGCGTGAAGGACGTGATTTTTAGCGCATTTTTGAAAAAAATACGCTATTATATTCGTCATTGCTGGCAGGCCGGCTGTCCGCGTTAGATCTCCACAACTACAATAGCTAGAGACTTCAAATTTTCACTAAAAGCTTTCTGCTAAAGTGTAGATGTGCAGGCACTAGTCTATTTTGAGTTAGATTACTTGTGAGATCCATAATTGAAGAAAATAATTTCGATATGGGTTTCGGAGGTGCTATAATTTTACCGTTAGATAGCGCTACCAGTATAAAAACTTATTATTTACTTTGTGATTTGTTTTACAAAATGAAGACGTACCGTCAATTGAAATTAAATAAAATTAATTATTTAACGCAGCCAAAATTACTCGTGAGATCGATAATTTTAAACTTCGCTAATAAAATACTGACCTGCATTACCAAAAATGCGCTTTAATCATGCATATGCTGATTTACAACTTGTTTTTAAATAAATGTGTGACGCGCTTACTTCCGCACACTGCGAATCATTTCTAATCTTACTTTTCAAACTATGGAATCGGCGATGTTTAGGGAATTCTTGAGAATTTGCAACTAACCCCTAGGCGTAGTACCACCGCAACCGTTCTTTATACGGCTGGCTCGACGGCTGTCCAGGATTAACCTCGGGATTAACCTCCCGCGTTATCTACCCTTTACCATTATAGTATTTAAACAATGCCTTTACCCGCAAAATTAGAATTAGAAAAAGACCAATCCGAATTAAGTTTTCTATAAGTGAACATGAACTCAATAGTTTCTAGTTTGAATCGTTTGCATAGTTTGTTGGCATTATTTGGCATTTAATGGCATTACTTGGCATTGATTGGAATTAAGTTTAATGTGCTAATTGTCAAATTTTCTGTTCAAATAATAATTTGCAGAAGATGTCGTTAAGTATATCAAAATACAGTAATAGAAACAGGTATAGGCGGTTGGATCTTCATTCAAATATTGACTACAATTTTTCGATAAACTTTTTTTTACAAAATTAGGGAAATTGACTATTGCATTTGTGGGATGCTTTTGTATGACACATTAAACAGGGAAAAATATTTCGTTGGCGAGTTGTCGCAGTGGCGAGTCGTCCGTTGGCGAGTTGTCGCGGTGGCGAGTTGTCCCGTTGGCTAGTCGGTCGGTGGCGAGTGGTTCGGTGGCGAGTCGCCCTTGGCGAGTTGACCGTGTCCCGTGCGCCTGCGACTGTGAATTCCAATTCTTTTTCTCCGTTTGTTCAAAAGTATTGCCCTTAATAATATTGATTTTTCCAAATACCAATACAAACGAACTGCCCTTAAAGGAGGCATGATTAACACTGTAATTTTGCGATGTCGACGCTCATTAATGTACACATGCCACCGCTCCATCGCACAACGCCCACCGCTCACAGCTCAACTCGAAAAGATCATGTTATATGTTAGTTAGTCTATTCTGTGTGTAAGTTTGACTTGTTCCTATACATTTTGTAATTGTCGTAAGGAAATACCTAAATTATTATTATTATTATTAACACTCGCCAATGTAATACAGCAATAGTTGTGTAATACAGAGTAACAGTTGAGTCATTCCGAGTAATACTTGAGTAATACTGTTGACTGATAATTAGGATTTATCAGTCAACGGTAATACCGAGTAATAGTGGGTAATACTTTATGGTAATTCAACAATATGTATGAGTAAGTGTACACGTTTTAAACCAGCGGTTTACCCGAGGTTTCACCACCGTTGCAGAGATCTCTTTCTTTGGTGAGCTACGAATTTGAACCACCCTGTTCAGAAAACCACCTAATGAAATCGAATGAAATTGCCTGTCATTCAAATATATAACTTGTATAAAGGAGGAAGAATAAAAAGCTTTATTTATTTAACAACCCCAAGCAATCATTATACTGGGACGAGAATGAGACTAATTAACAACATCTATCGTTCTGTTACTTGTAAAACAATTTTCAATTGGGTGGAGTTACCACTGGACCTCGATCGAATCCGAGATCGAATCAGACGTAAAATGATGTGTGGCAAGTTAAATTTCAGAAACAAATTTGAGTTGTTTTCTTTTTAAATCGTTCTACTCTAAACTAGGTTCTAAAAACACAAAAAAGCACTTCTTAATTGTGTTGCCCTAAAATTTTTTTGTTACACCTAAACCGAGACCCAAACACTATAAAATTAAGCAGGCGTTTATTTGACATCAAGCCAATTTCGGCATTTCCAGTGAATTGTTGTCTTCCCACTCATGCGAGTAGTGCCTTGGCAAAGGTGATAGCTGCATACATCCACCAATTGTGGGTTTCTTGGACTGCGTATTTTCAAATTTCACAAAATCCCTCTTTTTGAATATTTGCAAAGTTGCCAATTATCTTATACCATGCGATCAAAAATGAGTTGCTGTCGAGTCGCCTTTGGAATTTTTGTTTACATGGAAAATCGTACTTAACCTGAACTTTCAAAGGAGACTCGACAGCAACTCATTTTTGATCGCCCGTTATTATGCGAACACAGAGAAAATACAAATTTCCTCGCAAATTTCACATGTAGAGCTGGTAGGTACGAAGTTTCAGATCAACCGCTGTGTTTAGCGTGTTTAGTAGACATGTAAATCGTGTAAAGTGAATCTATTTCCTGTCGTGTCATCCGCAACGTTAATTAATTAATGAAGTAAATTGGGTAAGGTAATGTGATTACGTTTTATGCCGACATTATAATTTGATTCATTCACGAGGTAATGAATCAAAATGGCCGTTTGTTATGGTGATTTATTTTTACACATCGAATTCCTGTAAACCACAACGTATACAACAAGAGACTTCCTGGACCGAAAATAAAGACACTGAGGGGAAATTCCCTGCGGTAATTTCGTACGTTTAGATATTCGTAAGCTTGGCTGAATTTGAAAGTAAGAATGCGAACTTAAAAGGTCCAGTTCGGTCCAGCAGCTGGTGACTCATATGTTTATATGAGACAAAGTTGCGGTTATTGTAATAAAGTTTACTTTGCAAGGCGAAGTGGTTAATCAGTCAACACGCGTTTACCGGTAAATATTGATTTTCTCGGCGCATTCCTTTCGTTGTTTGACAAACCGCTCTAACTAAAAATATGGGAAATGAATGAGTGGAAAAAAGGTGATGACGGTTGCATTCGAACAGACACAACATTGCAAGGGGTCACCCGATCGCGTTTGACAGGAAGACGAGCGCAACCTGTCAAACGCGCCCCTTATCTCATAAAACGTTGTTGTGCAATTTATTTATTACCTACCTATTAATTGTGAACGAACGTGGAGATTTACATAATTTACGCACAAGAAAAGAAAGGCAAGTGAAACAACGCCTGCCCATTCGATAGCCTATCAATTGTTTATAACGCTAGTGGAGGTCAAGCTAGCTTCTCGGAAAAAATGATAGAATTAGAAAAAAATCGTGTAAAAAATTTGAATGAATCATACCGCTGTGCTCCGTAAAAATATTCGAAGTCTGTCGCCCATCTTTAGGTACTCTCGATCTATTTCTTGTCGTTCTCCCAGAATGTGTTCCAACAGAAGCGGTTCTTTCCTTGGTATTCTGGGCTCCCATGACTTAAAACACATTCCCTTCAGTCTTCCAGATTGTCGACGATTCTCCAGTGACAATAATAAATACACTTACTTCTAGCGCACCACACCAAAATAGGGTGGATTTCTCTAGGTCCGCACGCACCACTACACCATTTTTATTTTATTCATTCGACACTCGCACTAAACAAAAACTATTCCCACTTAACGGCACGTTACATTTATTTTATAATCGATTAACAAATTATTCCACTTACGTTTTTCACGAGTGATGGAACGAAGTACGGTCGACGGATGCCATATTTCTATCTGTCCTTTACCTTTGGGATTTTTCTTTTTTGATGTACTGTCGATTCGTGCTTGTTCAACTTGGCCACAGATGGCGCCAAAACGTATCTTGCAGATGTGTTGCACGGTGACTCCCTCGGTACTGCGCAACCGCAAGCGCGCTTAAAATTAAATTTGTTTTAAACGCGTCAACGCGCTATTGACCATCACAATGATAAATTTGTCCGTTTGTAAGTAGGTAGTCGACAAGTATATTTTTTTAGGGTAAACAATCCTCCCTACGTTAAAGAGAAAGCGGAACCGTTTTCTACTCATGAATGTGCATCTTGAATTAAAGCTAATCACATATCCAGCATTAAGCTGCATTATATTTTATGTAGTGGGGCCTATGGACCACTAACCCTTTTTACGAAAATAACAACTGGACAAATTCAGCTGGCACTAAGCTCTCCTGGATCTCCGAACACTCCGGTTAGCGATTGGGGTTGAATGCGTCGATGGAGATGGCTTCCTGAAGGGTTATAAGATGGAGCTCATACCTATTTGGGAAAGGGTTACGCCGCGCGCGTGTATTATTTAGGATACACATCCCGCCTCGGTCCTCTGATCAGGACCCTCGGCCAATAGATCAGTAACGTCGATCTGTCACTCATTGCCCTACGTGGGAACGACATCCAGGTCAAGCTCACCCCCGAACTGTTTTTGTTAACAATGAGGCCTTTATTTTTCGTATTGGGTCGACACCATGAACTACTCGAGCGAGTAGATCACTCAGCGGTATAATCGACGGGAGCTACCCGCGGGACCGCGTCATAGGCACATGCACATAATGCACTTAAAGCCTAGGAATAATATATCCGGATATCTGCGAGGGGTTTACCTAAGCACGACCAGCTCGATGGCCTGCACAATTATACACTCACCACCTACACGTGGGAGACACTCACCACCTACGCGTGGGAGAAATGGACATGGAGAATGGGAATGAGAATCCTTAAACTGTAAAGTGCTCCGAGGGTGATAGTGGAGCGAATTATTATTATTTGAGGAATCTCTATACATGTATCGGCGGGTTTTAATTTTTTGTATTGGGCCCAGGGCCAATTTTCTGGAAGAATGGGGATCATGAATTAGGATGACATGTGCGATGCGGCGATGGGAAACCATGCGCTCATAGACCTCTGCGTCTCTGTCTAACATCCCTGTCTCGGTCCCAGTACCATATTACGTACAAACGATGAGTATGAATATGATTAAAAGATGTAATATAATTTGAATGGGGACAATGTACCCTTAAGATCTGTCACACAAAAATGCGCTGAAGTCTTCGATTTCACACGAGGATAACCCTTACGTGGTGTTATTGTCAAAAATACCAAAGAAATTAAATTTACTAAGCGGAAATAAGTCAATTGGAAAATATTGATCAGTTTCACGCTTCGCAAGTATTAATAAATTCTTTTTTACATAGTGATGAAATTATCCGACTTTTTTTAACGAAAAATCGCATTAATGGAGCGAAATCGGGCCAAATATGTGAAAAAAATTTTTTTGAGGTATAACAAGATCAGACCTAGTAGAGTATGTAGATATTGTAATTCTGCATCCGAAATGGTGTTTTACGACATTCTCCGGTGGTCATCACATTTTTTATAGTCAAAAAACCACTCAAAAGTGCCTGAATAAAAATTTATGTTTTTAGAGATTTACACCGGGATATCTCGGCTCTCACACGAGATATTGTTATAATTGTTTCAGTTCTATGTTGCCAAATAGTAAGCGCTTCTAACTATGCCTATTACGTCGAAAACATGATATAACTACAATATTATAACTGTCATCAAAGTCGATAAATCGATTATTGAGAAGCGTAAACTTCACTCTGCGAGAAACTTTTTTATTATTTGAGGAATCTCTATACATGTCGTACAAATGGTAGCTGATAGTCACCAAAAGTTTTTGGTGAAAGAATTTTAGTGATAGGTCTTACCATTTTCGAGTAAATGATATATGCACCTCGTGCGCGTCCGCGGTCGGCGTAGCAGCGCACTTGTTTGGCTGCTATCGGCGCCGACTGGACAGCCGGCTTGTCACCTGTACTGGAACGATATCATACCAAAAACTATAATGCCAAATGGTAAGCGCAGCTGATCTGCATATTATATTAAAAGCATTGCCTTAGCAGAAAACAATATGAAAGTCGATTAATCAATAATTGTGCAACATAAAGTTCACTCTTTGGGAAATTTTTTTTAATCATTGGTAGTTCGTTTATTTGCTTCGGACTGCTTCCAGTAAAATGAAATCCAAATATTATTTTCCATGGACCATCCAAAACCTCCGATTCTATGTAGTGTTGGTTTGCATTGTTTGCTATGGTACCACACAGTCAGTTTACAAGTACAATCTCGATGAACTAAAAAGCGACGGTGACGCCATTTAAGACCCTGGGGAAATCTCGATGAACTAAAAAGCGACGGTGGCGCCATTTAAGACCCTGGGGAAATCTCAATGAACTAAAAAGGTAATTAGGTATCTCATTCTAGAACCGCCGTTTTGGAATATTCCTATCTTTTCTCGATATTCCAACTTTCTTTTAGAAGCTCTTTGTTTGACGTACATAATGTGATTATTACTCTTGATCAAATCCAACAATTCGCACAATATCTCTCAATACTTACCTGATTTATAGTATCGAAAATCGGGAAAATTCCAGTTTTATATTGAAAATTAAACAATATTTTCATAACAAAATTACTACCATGTTTTTACATATCAAAATAGAATAAAATATGATATGAAAACCTATCTTAAGATTAAAAAAAAATGTAAAATTTAGTCATATAAACAATACCTTATATAAAATTTAATAGAATAAACAAGAGTAATAACAACGATTTTAACATTTACCTATAGATATAGATTTAAAAAATGAAGCCTCAGAAAATAAAAGAAAAATAACAAATAATACCGTCACTGGAGGCAGTATTACGTGACGACACAAAAAAAGTACCTATGTACTTCGTTAGAAGTCGTACAAGCGTATGTACTTGCAAATAAATATATAGTCAATGGCATGATGAAATGGATAAGGCAGTGGAAATTGATTAAACATTCATAAATAATTAATATTCTAACAATATAAAAAGTAGGTACGACTATTTACAATTACAGATTAGGTAAGTATGAAAATTAGGTACATCAAAATGTCTTTTCTCAATTGTCATGTTAACTTTTCACAGAATTGCGTAATCTATAGGTTATTAACTTATACCATTAGCCTCACCACTATATACATACATTGTAATCACTAACCACGTATTATTATTAAGTATGAACTGCCTTTCGTCCTCAGTCACATTAAAAATATAAAGATATGTATAACTACCCAGAATAAAACTGCATTTATGTAGTATTAAATACTTAAAAAAAAATTATAGATATGTTGTTCTAAAAAGTTAAAAAATTTATGGAGAATTTAATTCTCTAAAAATAGAAGCGATAACTATCAATAAGTAATAATATTAGCATTCTATAAGAATCATTTTGTACTCTAAGAGATATATAAACTATTCCGCCTGTTTTAACAGGCTAGGGCGAGTGCTTTAGAAAGATATGATTGTTCAGTTTGAAAAGCACAACGGATGACTATCAATTGTTGTTTAGCTTTAGATTACCCTTAAAATCTACAGCTCCACAAAGCCAACAACACCAATTGTAGTGTACGCTATTATTCATAGTGAAAATATCGCAGTGTGCAGTGAAGTGTCTTTTTTAATACTGTTATGGTGCCTAATTCTCAAATCGGAAACATCATTTTTATTAACAATAGATAATACCGTTAACATCAAAAATTTTCGACGAAACTCATTTCAGCTACAATTTGCGATTTTCCACCAAAAATAAAGTAAACTCTTACCTACAACATAATACATTATTTACAGTTTAATAACTAGTCACAAAATTATTAAGTAACATTGATATGTTTAACGACATTGTCGATATATGTGTGCAGTTTTAATTCGAACAATTTTCGACAACTCATTGCCTTCACTTGAGAAAATAATTAATTGTTAGGCAAAAAATTCTTCCCCCAAAATTATCAGTGCACTGACTTTGCCTAATCATACAAGATACACTAAAACGTGGTTGTCAAAAAGTAATTTTGCCGCATACAAACTGCAAAACAAAACTTTAATGACCCTGTCATACTTTCCATTTACGAGTATTTACACAAAGTAGTGTATAAAAAAATTCCTAGATGTTTTACCTTAGCCCTCTTGTCGAGTGAGATTAGAACGACATCTAAACGTAGAGATTACATTTTGAGATCAAAAGCTTGGCAGTCAATTCTAGCTTTTTCTCTGAAAGCATGGCAGTGCTTTTGCTGAGAATTGCACTTCTACACATATTAGCAATTTTTGATAGTGCATTGGCGTCAATATCTTTGAATATACTGTAATAGTTTGAGGCCAAGACACCGTCTTTTAATAAACTGAAACGAAAATGAAGTGCTGGTGTAAAAATAAGCGAGTCTTTACTCTCATAAAATTTTAAAAAATAAAATCTCTGGAATTTTTCAACACCACTTTTTCATTAATGGAATGGATCTTAATTTCTACAGACCAGTATATGCGACGTTTGAGCAAGAGCAGGCATGCAAATACACGATTTCTGACCAACACATTTACATGTACTTATTAGGAATATAAAAAAATTGCAAAGCTAATCAATTTTCAAAATTTCAACGCTTTAAAGACTATGTGAGTTCAACGCTGTCAGGTCACTGAAGATCGTCTTCGCATTTAGGAATGTCAAATATTTCGGCGAACAATGGTGGTAATGTCAATTTCGTCCAATTTACTCGAAACCAGTCTAAGTGTGATGTGTGCTTGGTGCCCAAATTTCTTAATTCGGGCAGTTTTATTAACAGATTCGAAAATATTTGCGGTTCGCTTCCGTGATTGCGCCCCACCTGAAAAATATATGAAATTATTGTGGCAGGTTTTCATTGGAGCGCTGGGTAAACTATAATATTTTGGTAACCACTCAATACAGTTTTGGTAAATTGGATACACGAAAAGGTGTTTATTTTATTCGGCTTTATTACTACACATTCAAAAATAGCTATCTACACCAATAAATCAAATTGATATAGAATCCACAACTTTTTTGTTTGCATTATCAAAAAGGTACCATGAAAAGAAATTGCACAGTAAAGTGTCCGCATTCTGACTCGAAACCGTTATTTCCAAGATGTCTCATAGACAAAAGAATTGATGTCAGCGCATTTACAATCCACGCCACCTCTAGGACTAGGAACATCAGTTTTTCGAGAACTCTGTTTCACTAAGCGCTATCACAGAGTATCATAATGTATGTTACTCTATGCGCTATTTAAGCAAGAATCTCCAAAGAGCACACACCATTTTGCTGTTGTAACCAACGGCGTTACTTAGATTTCTGAGTATACCCTTTTTGGTTATGCAAAAATTTCTCTAATATCAATCATAGAGAAGGGATGCGAAAAAATTCTGATTTTGCCGAACAGCACCGATTTTTATATAAATTTGGATTTAGGTTCTACTGACCCAGAGGTTGCTGTTACCCTGGGGGTGGGTTGCCACCTCTTCTCGGGAGTGAAAAATATGTTCGGGTTTCACATATTCTCGAGTGAAAGTCACATTTTCAGACAGTTTTCCGCAAATAACTTCATATTAATACATATACGAGTATGTTCTCGAAAAAATAATTGTTAATAAAAATGTAGCGAATACTAAAAAAAAACACATAGAACCATTTTTGAAGTGATTCAAAAATGTTGGGCCATATCTTTTGGCGAGAAAAAATGTGAAAATCATTGTCTTATCACCATCCCATTGAATATAATTTACAACATCACTTAGTTTTGCTTAGTTTTGATAAAAATTGAGTCTTAAGGATTACTCAGTACATACAGAACGGAGTATGTAAGTTGCCTATTGTCAGCCGTCAAATTTATCCATTTATTTTATACTATTAATTTGTGTTTGATGGCAGATACATAAACTTAGGCACAGATAAAATACCCTTTATCTGAGCTATAACTAAGGGCACAGGGGTATTTTATCTGTGCTAAGAGTTAGGAATGGAAAATACACTGAACATGATACCGCCCTATAGAAATGACCACTTTTTAGAAATGTGCACTAATATGGTTCCAGCGATAGATAGAAGATAGATTGAAAGCCCTCCCAATTTTGCAATTTTTCAAGTTACTCCACGGTTGCAAAGGGAAGCCTTCTCTGCTTGTACAAATGCGGTGGCGTCCAGCTCCTAGACTACGGTACTTAAGTGACACAGATCCAGATTAGTCTTTGCTTTGTGACTATTGTAAAGAGTGGATCCAACATTAAATAATTTCACTTTACACTTACTTGTACTTTGAAAGCTTCTATAAGCTTATCTTGATGGTGCTCAATTGTTTTAACGTCCGTTATTCCCGGTCTATCGGCTGTTAACAAAACGACTGCAGAGAAAAGCCCTAATTCTGTATCATTCAAAGCCAATGCGTTAAAGGTGTTTGCAAAATGGATTATTGAAGCAACAAAATCTACCTGCAAGCATTCAATTTAAATCAAGACCGAAATTGAAACCATTGCACTTACATCGTACATAATCTCTAACTGTTGCCTAGTAACTGTAATACCATTATCGAAAACCATGGAGGTGTTCGACGTTAGCCTAGCCACGTGACTGAGCCATATTTCGAAGAAACCTACTTTAATTAATATCAATTGGTCATCTTGTCCCAGATCACAAAATCCCGGTACTCGTTTGGCAAACTCCACGACCCTTTGCACGCAGGGCGTTACGTTCGCGGCGAACTGTTGCCATAACCAGCACTTTTGTTGCTCCAGGGAGTCCGCCGTGGAGGTTGCCACCTCGCCATCGTCCGGACTAGTCGTCGGAGGCACAGATAGGGATTTCCTTACTAAATGTCTTGTATGCTCCTCCGTAAATCCACAATTTGCGTGATGAGCTTGCGATACGGTTAAAATTATATCGTAAACGGCCAACTGCTTCGTCTCGTTATCCGATTGATCGGCGTCAGTGGTCGTGACCCGCGAAATTTCGTCCGTGCTGCGTTCCCTGGAACGTTTCGGCACGCGGCCGTATCTTACAGCTAGAATACGAGTGCAACATAATACCATTTTCGATATGGAAAACAATGGTTTACTTACAATCTCTAGACATGCCGACGGCTAAACATTTTTTAAAACGACAGTATTGACATCGATTTCTATTCAGGCGAATTACGAGACATTTGCCGTCCCGCAGGCAGCGATACTCGATCTGTTTCTGTATACTGCGACGAAAGAAACCCTGAAAAAATAACGAGTAAGTATTAGTTGATTATGGTAATATACATATATTTCGAAAATGTTATGTGGGTCAAATATACAAACGCGTAATCAAATACATGTGAGATTGATCATATGGTGCATTCGACCGTCTTTCTGCCGAAATTGCTGAATAACTACAGATTTTATATCTTACAACTTTTTACTTGTATAAGATATGCCTGATTGCACATACCTAGGCACCAAAAGTGCATTTATCCCAAAATGAGGAAAAAAAGTTTCAGTTATAATTATGCCGGTTTTCACAATCCATAAAAGTATAGTAGTTTACGTACCTACCAATTAATGTTATTGTGGGTTTTACTTTACGAGGGAATATGTTTGAAGAACGAGGGGCGACGTTCATACATCAAACTATTAAAGAACAAGTTAAAAAAAGTAATAGTAAACGATTTACATAAAGCGCATTTCCACTTGCATTCATTTCCGATTTTTAAGATGCAACTTCTGTTAAAATCGTAAAAATCCGGCCACAAATATGAAAGATAGCGTTGCATAGGTGCAATCGATTTTTGACGTGCTATACTTCAATTTCAGTTTATAAGAAGAATTTCATTTGAATGCTTTCATAAATAAGAAAGTTGGCACTGCGCATGCGCAAACCTAGATTTTGAAACTGGCGTTAGATTTTCCTTTATTCCAAGCGCCCATGTATCAAATTTCATTTAAATGCTTCCATAAATAAAAAGTTGGCACTGCGCATGCGCAAAACCAATTTTTGAAACTGGCGTTAAATTTGCTTTTTTATTATACCTGAATCACAATCTCCGTTTTAAACACTCAAATGCGTGCGAAAAAGGGCCTTTAAAACACACGTGCTTTAAAGTTGCTAAGTAACGATACTTCAAGTATGACTTTTGAAACTGTCATCTGGATGAAATAAAAAATCCTCTTAGGTCGCTTTCTGTAAATGCAGAACATTTCTTTGGCTTTTGTACCTATCCTTTGGTTGAAGCTTTCACAAACGCGCGTAATTTAGGGTATGCTTCCAAATCTGTTCCACTTTTTAATCGCAGCATTGCTTTAAAGTTTTGAATGAATGCACCAAAATATAGAAGATGTAAATACCTTTGACATTTCCTTCATATATGCTAGCATTATGGATGCATTTAAGACTGTATTCGTAAGTAACTTCCTATTCATCCATGGAAACAACTTTTCATATTCTTTATAATAGGCTTTGCTGGAGTTGGATTTTACACCTACCAACGTTTGTTTAGATTTTACAACAATCGATTTAATGGACGGTGTATTATCTTTTTCAACGGAAATCGTTTAATTCACAAAGACGATGATTTTTATAAGCAAACGTCAAGTGACATTTCCATGGCAATCGTGAAATTACGAACACCCAGCCCACTTAATTAGACATGTATTCGAGTATAACGTCAATATGACTTCATTGTATTTCCTATTTTTAAATTATACTGCAGGTATAATAAAAAATACTATAAGATACACGTGTATAATTGATCTTTAAAGCACTTGCAACGTTAAAGGCACTCCGCTTTGCGTCGTGCCCTTAAACTCGTTGCGCGTGCTTTAAAGACTTGATTATACACTTGTATCTTAATATACTATTATTCCAAGTGCATATGTATCAAATTTCATTTAAATACTTTTATAAATAAAAAGTTTGCAATTCGGTTTATAAATGGGCGAATAGCGAAAAGAGCACTGTGTATTATTACAATATTTAAATTTCCGATTAAATATTCGTGTTAGCATATGAAATAGCTGTGCAATTCCGCGCGCGGGTATGTAGATACCTACGCAATTTTTGGAGACTGTTTTTCTGCTATTTTCACGGAGGTACCTACTGAATTCTACAGTAGTGTGATATCTTTGATTATATTTTGGCGAGAAATTACAACCCTCCTCAACTAACAAGATGTCTCAATGTCTCATGAGTCATGTCGATACATACTCGTAACTACAGAGACTACATACACTTCCTTTACGTACGTACGTATCCTTTTAAAGGGACCACATCCAAGAATTAGGGAATTTACGCAAAGCACCTCCTTGACTACAAGAATCTGGATTCTGGAACTTTGATACTTTTATTTCATTGAACATATTGTAGCGAGCATTCCAGGAATCTCGATAGACATCGAGGTGCCACGAAGAATGAGTCATGGGCGATAAGGAACGAAGGCGGATGTGACGTAAGAGACGTTACGTGTTTGCACTAGAATCTTCTGAAGGGACCTTGAGAGCTCAAGAACACCAAAGAACCTTCAGAATCGTTCGAGAACAATTATTATTATATTGTGGTTTACGCAAATTGTAACGTATTTCAGTCACTTCTTATTTCGATGCACTTGTGTTATTTTGTTATAAAATGTAAGTTATAATAAATCATATTTATGTCTTACTAACCTATCATAGCACATTTTATATCTGTGATACGCGGGCATAAAGTACCACTTTATGCCCTAGGGCATTAAGTATCACCATAGTAACTCATTTATACTTAATGACAAAACAAACAAATATTTGCAGGTCATTGAAAATTAGAAACGTTAATTATTAATTGTCAATATCTACTAAATCACAAGATTGGCCTTATTTCGTGTAGTTTCTGGAACTTCTTCCTCATTCACGATGAATTGAATTATTTAAAATTACGTTTGACGTTTGGATGGTTTCAATCACATTAAGAAATTTGAACCACGCATTCTCGATCAAATATAATGAATTATTTTGTAAACGAATTATGACGAAGAAAACTATTTGTAAAACATAAAATTGTGTATGTACCACGGGCATAAACTGATGTTTATACTCTCGGGCGACTAAAAAGCTCTCGGGCCATAGGCCCTCGAGCTTTTTAACTCGTCGCCCTCGAGAATATAAACATCACTATTATGCCCTTAATACATAAATAACTATTTTACTGTGATAAATTAATTCATTTCCAGACATAAATTGATTGTTAATTAATTGTTATAAATAAACACCGTACTTAAATTTACGTTACAATATAATAATATCTACATTTAAATGAAACCTTATTAAATTTAACCCAAAATCGAAGAATTAAATTCAGTCCTCTGAAAGAGGCTCCGATGATACGTAAATTTTAAATTATTTTTTATTTGTGATTGTAGTTTCCGTCAGAAAAAATTACGATATAACTATATCAATAGAAATGAACCATATAACCAACCTTACACCCTTCACAGGACGTTACGCCGTAGTGGTACCCAGACGCCTTATCTCCACACACTTTACAAGGAACGAAAGACTTGGTAGTTGATGTGCTATTGGAATCGGCTGCTACATAATGTTGTTCTGCAAATAAAAAGGCGACTTTACTTTACGGATCAGTCAAAAACAAGGGAGCGATTAAATGGGCGATAGCTAGTTGTTAAAGATCCGTTACAGCGCATTTTTAATGGTTTGCGGTGAGAATAAGGAAAACTAACCGTAATAAGTCTATATATGAGAATATTGAATAGTAAGCGCACACGCTGCCGCTTTTCTTTCCGAATACGGTGAATGCCATTAAAATCGCATTTTTTGCACACCCCCTAGTCTAGTGAAGTGGCGCTCCAAGGGCGCGTCGTAGTTTCTACCACAAATAATATCTTGTAAAAAATCTCGGGCGGGGTAGGTACTAGATGTATTCCAGAACCGACTTTCCAAATGTAGGAAACTCGGGGGCGTAAGGATTTTGATAAGCAAAAGGAGACGACGGCGCACACGAAGCCCCAGTTACTTCGTTAATGCTATTTCTGTTCCTAAATAATAAGAAAAATGTAGGCGCACCTCACATAAATTTGAGTTTATATAAATTTATTACCATTTCATTATGGCATGGTAGCTATACATATAAGAGGGAAAGTATAATAACTTCCTCCCACAAAGCACGTGTGTTTTGAAACAATTAGGTAGGTGGTTATAGTATTTTAAAAAGCAGGTATGTAAGTATAGTTGTCATTATGCAAAATCTTGTAATTTATTTAGTAATGGCACGTTCAAGTTCAAGGCTATATTTTGAGGTTGGAGTCATTTTAATTTTAATTTAAAAAAGGAATTTCTTCTCCAAGTAATGCGAGGGAAATTGGTATTCTTTATCCGCAGACAGTATATACTCGTAGAACGAGTTGTAGTTCTTTGTCTCTATTGACCAAAAGAAATGTAATCTTCTCCATAAGCATTATTAGTACCTACATTATCAGTATTGAATATTCTACTAACATTTTAGCAATATTTCACGTGTGAATTGTGTACGTATGTGTTCGCGCAAAGCTGCTTTCTTACGAACGAGTCATTCACACAAAATACAGTTTTTAGTGCATTTTTTAAGAATAAAAAAATGTGCTATTGTTTGCGTTTTGTCCGTCCGTCCGTCCAGACCCACTTCTGCCGTTTCGGATTCGGACCACTTCCTAGAGTCCTGGAATTTTTTGCAGTAGGTAGCCTATACCTTCAAGGTGTGGCAGACAGCCATCCAATTTCGCTGTCTAAAAGGGGGCCCCCCACGAATTATTTCCTGAGATGCTGTTTTTGAAAGTGAAACGTGCTTAACTTTTACATACGACAACCAATTGGTCTCAGATTTTGCATACGCGTGCCTTTAGTAGTGCCAAGTTAAATTTTAGAAAATGGGGGGGGGGGGTTAACACATGTTCTACCCTTCATGGTATTCTAGGTCTCATCGAAATAAATTGGTTTGTGCAATTAGAATGAATTCTTTGTAAGAATTAGCTAAAGCTAAGTATTTATTGCATCTACAGTTAGAAACCATTGTTTCCATGTTTCATTAGTTATCATAATAAAAAAATTAAAAATTACATCCTATAAATTACCCAAAATTGTGCGTATGAGCCGAATAGATTTGCCAGCACAATTTTTTATGGTAATTGGCATTGTTACTATAGGTTATCGATTTCGAAACAATGTTTCTCATCTTCAGACCTAGGCTGAAATAAAACGTACAAACTTTGTGTGATTTAAGGTGATGTTGCTTACCGTCTAAATTTGCTGAATAATACATAATCGCCTTTGGCGTTAATGGAAAAAAAATTCGGTTTTTAGGTGGGAGTTTGAAACGACATGATTACACATTGCAGATGAATTACGCAACGATTTGCCAAAATAAAAGCGGAAGCCAAACAAACGCAAACCTGCAGTATAATTTTTGCAGGAAATGAAACAAAAAAATCTTCATCCAGAATTTTTTTCAAATATCCTCAATTAGAAGTGAAGCTTTGTTTTGCATAAAATAATCATTTGAATTGATTTAAAGCCACTTTTTGTAAATAATTCCCGCGTGTGCATCGCCATGTAGTGTAGGTAGCACATTTTTTTGTTGTGTGTGTGTGTGTGGCATTGACCTCGAATTTATTCGTGAATGAATTAAAAATAGAGTTCTTAATTTATGACTGCAAAAAATTGATCGATCCCGTAGGTAGATTTTATTTATTTCGATTAAATTTCGGCCATTTTCCCTTTCGCAGATTTAAAGCTCAGTCGTTCTTTCAGGTCGTTTACCCCTTGCAATGCGATTTTCTAATAACAAAGATTTCTTCTCTTTGCCTTTCTCCGGTTTTCTTGAGGTTATCTGTCGGCGGGGGTGTGCGCCTATTTCGCTTTTAAACAAATCGATAAGTAAATAAGGCTATATGCTCTCATTATTAAGTTTAATAATTAGACGCTAAGCACTTATTTGCTTAGAGAGGGATTTGCAAATTGAATACTGTGTTCTTTGTTTTGTTTATGAAGTTAGAATTTAATTTTTAATCAAAACTTAATTATGGGGGTGTTTTGAATTTAAATAATTGCCGTCAGATGCACCGGTTTCACGTACCTACGCCCATAATCTCGTATGGAACAAAAGTTGAAAAAGAGCAGAAAAAGAGAAACGTTTCGTCTCTCAATTGAAACATCAATTTCCATCAACTAATTTAATTCCTTTCGATTTTCCCGTTTTTTCCTGTTTCAGGCTTCCAGGCATGTTCTTAGCAATTCTGTTCTAAAATTTCACTTTTTAGGAAAATGTGCACCATTGTAGGTGCAATGCGGCGCAAGATTCTAACCCCCTTCTCTTTTAGACATACGAACGGAATATACCGTTGCGGTGTACCCGTATGGGTGAAAATAACCAAACGAACAGTACATGCTAATGAGAGCATCGGGAGCAGGAAAACGTAGGTCTACATAAGTTCTGATATGACTATTTACATTTGAAAGGAAGTACAGATGTTACACCCTTATGAGTTGTGTCAATTTGTGCCTTAGGTATAATGCGACGTATAATCGACCATAATAATCACTCAGTTAAAAAAAAATCTTGTCATCCCTTAAACTTTTTGGATCAGATTCTCAAAATTCTTCCAATGTTTAGAATTCATCTGAACCTTCAGTTCGTTCAAGTACTTCAAATATATCACACGATTCACACGCTCTGTATTTCCCCTTTTTTCTGTTCTTCAGATTTTGGAATTCTAAAGGCTCTTTTTAGATTTGTTAACCTCTTTGAATCCATGGGATTGATAGGATAAAGTCAAGTAATAATTAAAAATGTTAGAATGACCCCGAAGATTTTCGTTCCGTTCTGGGTTCTGAGTGACTGTCGGAATTTAAATTCAAGCTTAGAATCTTGAACCAAAGTTTAAGGTTTAAGAATCGAGGATTGAGAGCCAAAATTTGAAATAAAATTTAAATTGCATAGTTTTAACTTTAATTTTTTGGAGTTTGAAGTCAGATGTTTGAAAAATAAAGTCGAAGTTCAAGGTGACGCCGTATGTATCGAGTTAGTTTAAAAGTCCTCTGGTTAGAGTTTCAAGTGTAAAGTTTGAAGAACGAATATGTGTAAGCTTAAGAATCAAAAGTTAGAAATTTACAATACAATACAATACAAGTTATGAATATCCTGTCCTATACCTGATTTTATTGTATAAATACGCTGGTTGCTTGTCAGTAATAATTTTGTGAAATAGTGTAGCAGATTGAAGATAACGTCTGTTTAACGTAAACGTTTAAATTCACGTGTGCGGTAAATTCATCCCCACAAGATTTGAGTGCACAATAGTCACCACGTTGAAGATTTGCCTCCAAAACGGCGGCCTTCGGAATGTTCGGCCCCATCAAGCAAACTTGCACCCGGATATTTGTTTTCGCAAGATTCGCCCTCTGAAAATTATCCATTATAGTATCTCAGTACTGCGGGTAAAAATCAATTTTTAATAACGCCTTTTTTCAGAATACAATAATTTGTATAGATAGTCTTAGAATTTGTTCTCGGTATAAATTTTTCGAGGACAAATGCGGACGTGTTTTCTTGGGCGATGATATTCCGGGAGCGACTTTCCCGGAGAGAAGCATTTAGGGCGAATCTTACGACAATTGAAAATCTCATTATTGCACTTATTCACTCTTATGTTCATTGTAACAAGAATGATAAAAGAACCCTATTGGAGGTTTGGTCTGTTTTTGGGCTGCATCTTTTTGACCCGTTAGTCCGCGCAGTTGAAAAACAATACCGATCTTTCTTATATCCTTAAGAACATGCGTACCAATTTTCATAGCGATCCGACGTTTCTAATCAAACAGACAAACAGACAATACAAAATTACCAACTATCTCGAAGATCGTTAATAAGCGGCAAAGGTGCACAATTATGGTATGGTAAGTACATGAAGATCTTTAGGGATGGTGAACTTTTATAGAAGATTCATCCTAAATGCTGCCAAGATGCAAATCCCCTCAATAATATGTTGAAATGGCAAAATTTAAAAGGAAAAACCTTAATACCATTTTACTGCGGAAGCTGAATTAGCCTTTGATAACTTAAAGAAAGCCTTAGGTCATGCTCTTGCTACTCTGTTTAAACCACCCAATTACCTGGCGCACCTTTAAGTTTAATGGTTGACGCTTCTGATTTTGCTGTTGGAGCTGTTTTGCAATAAAAGGTAGAATCAGAATGGAAACCGTTATCGTTTTTCAACAAAGGATTAACTTATACAGGGTGGTGACTTGCGTAACGCATCATAGGGATTTCAATGTAAAATTCATAACATGCGATTATTGGCTCCCCAAATTATTTTTGACCAAAAATGTATTAAGGTTTTTTGTAGGAAAAAAAAATTTTACGCCAATCAACCGTATTAGTTTTCAATTTTTTGCATAATTCAGACGGAAAATTGGAAAAATAAAACCCCCATCTTTTTCAATAATCTGCGATGCCATGGAATTTTCTAAAATAAAAAGATATCCAGTTATCAATTAGCAGCAGTTCGAAATGGATTTTATTATCTACTTGGTTACTGTCTTGCAGTTAATGGTGA